CAAACACTTAAATCAATGCTTGCTTAAGATGATAATACATCAAGGGTGGTTGAGCTGGTGTTCATGTGGACTCAGCATGTGACCTCTTACCTGGCCAGAGCTTGAAGGAGCTGGTTATGTCGGATGGCAGTGAGGGTGAAGTCTGGCAGGATGGCCAGCAGGTTGGTCAGCAGGCCGCAGTGGGCCGTCAGGAGGTCAGGCGTTACCTTGACAACGGGTTCCACGGCCAAGGGCTCGCCCTGTCGGGAGTCCTGCGAGGTAATAGAGTTGCTGGTGTCTGTGTCGCTCTGGCCTGCGAGACACATCAATAGAGGGCTAACAGACACACTTCCTGAAAAAGGGTTCACATATTGTAAATCACGTCTCTGTCTCTGGCTACCAACCACTGACCACATAATCAAAAGCAGTAAACCAAAGAAAAGCACTGGAGAAGACTGCACTACTTTCTCAGCTGTGTATTTAGGATGCTCACATAAACACAGAACTTGGTTTAGTTTAAGACAATCAGTAGCCATATTGAGAGCCGCTGTTTCAGAAGGGAAAAAATAAAAGGTTTATGCAGTACTAAGAAGTAAACACACAGTTTTACTGAGGCTGTTATCCACAGACATTTCTCATTTCAGTACCTTGAGCCATCAGTCTGCTGACAGGGGTATCTTGTGTCATACTCAGTGGGGAGGGAGCCTTTGGGGAGTGTGGCCTTGAATCTCTTATCTATAATGGACAACATTAAGATGTGAGGATCCATTTAACTTTAATGCAGCGGTTCATTTATTGGTATGCATATTGCTGCGCTGACCACAGTGCTAGAGGTGGAGAGAGAGCTGGAGGGTCTGCTGGAGTTGACTGTGGGTGCTGGTGGGTTGCGTCCCGAAAGCCACAGAGAATTCTCAGAATCTACACAAGCATATAAACAAAACAACACATACAGATTACAGCAGTGTTATAAGAAAATGTAGGGGGAAAAAAGGGAAGAAAATCAATAATGAAAGTCAGTGTGGATGTGTACTGCTGGAACAAATCCACATTATCAGGCTTGAAGAGAGTAATTAAGGAAAATCAAAAGAATTAGCTTACCCGATGAGGCGCTCTCCTGAAGTCTTGGGCCACAGTGAGAGCCAACACGAGGCTGGATGTAGAAAGTGTACCTGCCGCAGTAACAATTGGAGGCAGAGAGACCCACATGCTGGAAATACTGACAGTGATAGAGCAGAGCCTGCAGTGCTGGAAGACCCACCAAAGACACCCCAGACACTTCATCGCGAACACACGGGTGCTGGACGATGAGAGGGCGACAGGAGAATAGATGTTTCAGTATTTAATGCAAACATTATATTTTTATGATGCAATTATGATTCCCATTGAAATTTACAAATTAAAAACAAAGAAACCAAAGAGAGTTGAAGAAAAGGACAAAGTGAAGAGGCTGAGGGCATTCGTTAAGTTGCGCCACTGATGTAAGACATTTCATTCATTTTACAAATGTCACTTCATAGCTACAGGATGACATTTTGTGTCCTAGTTTTATTTTGTTTTTGGATCTTTCTTTTCTTTTCATATAGCCCCTGCACAGCTAGGCAGCAAGTGTAACCGTTTCTGCTTTCTTTTTTTTGCACTTGGCCTGCTTTGTACTTTGCAATGTTGTGTGCATAAGATTTAGTAAACAACAAGCTTTGCTTTTATAAGATAAGAACGCACGATACCTTCTTTTTTTTTTTTTCTTCTTCAATTTCTGACTTACAGCTCCCTTGATGAGTAATGGCATGCTGAATTAGTTTGATGTTTTGACAGATTTAAATGTGATTTTTTTGGGGGGGTTAGTGCTGGAAGCCTGCACCCTCAGTACAGCTTCAGTTCTAGCAACACCCCTGAACCCTGCAGGGCTTAACTAGAGAGGAGAGGGTGGTTTGGAATGGAAAGGAGGGACAGAGAGGGGATATAAAGAGAGAGAAACCAAATGAGAGAGAAAGTGAAAACAGTTCATGGTCTATAAAAGCTTTTTAACTGGCTGGCAGATCTGCTGACCTGCCAGTGGGAGTCCTTGGCCTCCTCTGCATTGGCAGGCATAGGCATCACCAGCAAGTTCTGCAGGATAAATGCAGCCTAGACACACAAACCATTACAAAAAAAAAATTTAAAAAAGGACACACACATACACACACACACACGCACACTGAGTCAACTTAAACTAAATCAGCAACAGTGCCATCTGCCTTTATTTGGCTGGTAATACATTCAAGTCCAGACTCATTTTCTGACCACTCGTTAGGTGTAAATGAAATTTGCTTTCCTTCCGCTGAGACATATATACTCTGCAACTCATAGTTTACCTATCACTAATCATCTCTGCATGTTCTATATATTCACCCAAGAGTCCTCAGGTTAAACCATTAGTGATAATAATCAATAACCCAGAATATTTCTGGCTTTAACAGTCAGCACAGTTGCAGTTCAAACACTGTACCTCTCTGCGGACCATGCTGCTCTCCTGTTGATCCAAGAGGATGTTGAGCAATGTGCCCCACAGGCCTCCACTTATGTTCTGACAGCTGGCACACAGAGCCTGGCACCCGCTGGGCATCGAGGATAGAGCTGCACCCAAACTCAAACTGGCAAATCTCACCTGACATGAAAGAATAAACCCACGTTTGAAACGAGGAAGAGAGAACACTGAGATGAAGCTTTGTTAAAGAAAAAACAAAACAAAAACATGACATGTTAATGTTAATGTTATGGTACACATCTAATGCAATAAATGTGAATTTGGTCATGGTGGTTTTTATTTTTACTATAATATCATACTGACATTTAAACTGAAAACATAGTCTTCTTTGTCAAGGGAGCCTCTTAGACTGACTTGTGTGGGAAGTCATTTTTGAGCAGTGCATTTGGTACGACTAGCTGTCATGTACTTCCTTTATGCCTGTGAGCTCTTGTGCAACTGTTACAGGGTTCTTCCCCCACCCCAGAAGCCAAACATCTAGAGCTTTATTTTAAAAACAGACAGGGTTTACAAAAAATGAAGGTGAAAAATCAAATGTAAACTCAACTCCTTTACTCTCTTACAGCAAATTCATATATTGAAGTATAAACACTAAATAAACATAGCCCAAAAAGTAAGGACATTTGTGTTTGGTTGATTATTTCGTTGTTGTAACAGTGCTACTTGGCAATAAATTACATAGTTGTCCAATAAACAACACCAATTAAAAGTCACTAACAGAATAAGCTGTTTGGAAAGTTTTTATTGGGCATAACGCTGCTGCTCAAACCACAAATGCATTTTCCGTACCATTTAAAGCAACATAAACACGCCTTCCAACAATATTAGGATTTATTTCCAACAAACAAATAATCAACCGAACACAGTAAACATAGTTTTCGTGTTATGTTTGCATATAAAAGTGGCGCTCATTACCTCTTGATCTCGGTCCACCCATAACGGGATCAACCATGCTAAACCCAGCTGAGAGGAACTGGCTTCCTCGGCAGCTGCTTCATTCCCCAAAGACCACTGTGGAATCATGTCCTAGTGCAGGAAAAAAAAAAAAACACACTTCGGTTTTACTCCAACGTCTTTTAATAATTTGCAGAAAAGTCTTCACTAACTATAAACACAGTAGGATCTCAATTCTAGAGCATGTTTTCTGCTGTATACTGCAGTATGTTGACACTTGCCTTGTCCTTGTTTTCAGACATCATCTCATGAGACAAGTGAAGCAAGCAGATGACTGCATTCTTGGTAACACCTTTCCCCATGAATGACAAGGAGTTGCCACCCCACTCAACATAAAATGAGGATATCACCTGGGTAGATAACAGAATATATTGGAAATATTATATCCTTATGTGCCAATTAAGACTATGACACTATCTATCTAAAAAGACATAGATACAGTGCAGAGGTCGTTCATATTTGGTATGTAGTTGTTATCCAATGCTACACCTACTTTCAGTGTGAACACCAAAGGCACAGTCAGTTGAGCAAACAGAGTAGTTGCTTCTGTGTTAATGCAAACTGTATGCTTGTCATGCAGCCCAATGCATCCAAATGAAAATTAAATACAGCTGAGACTAATTATTTTTGCTTTGGTGTGCCATCAGGATGTGTGGTTGCACATATGAGCAGATGAAGAGAGAGAGGAGCCCAAGGCTTGCTGAGATTTGGGCCTCTACTTTGCCAGGAGGAGGTGGGGGAGGAGTCAACGAGGTGATCTATAGCAGGTGAGAGGCGGGCGAAAAAGGTTAAAAAGCCGACGATGAAAGAGGACGATATTGGAATCTCAGAGACCGAAGCTGCCATTACAAATTAACCTTCAGTCTCCATTAAATGTTAATTTATGTCAATAAAAGCTGCCCCCCAAATAACAAACAAAAGGCTGTTTCCGTGTAAACAGAGCTGTCTGTTCCTTGGGGGTCTTCATTTCAAAGCAAAACTAAATGTGGACACCTCTGTGCTCTGGATTGCTGTGCAAGCTGGTCTACACTGAGTTACGCTATTGTTTTATGGACCGTTGAACAGCTGAACAGATGGAATAGGCAAGGTTGATTAATCTCATCAGCATCTTCACAGTGTGGCGTGTCTAATCAATGAATGTTTTTTACCTTTTGTTATTCATGTCCCGTAACCACATTTTTGCTTAATTTTAATTAATTCCACAGAAAGTACTCTGTTTGCCTTTTTCTTCATTTCTGTAGGCATTCTCGTATCTGATGAGAGGGGAAAAGCTTCGGCACTTGCCAATGCAGCGCACGAGCATATGCGCACACACTGTGCAGACAAAGAACTTGACACTCATGCCACATGCAAATACAAACTGATGGACAAACACATACCTCTAATAACCCACTGAGATACTTGGAGCAAAGGGAGCTGGGCTCCAGGTCAGGGCAGTGGGAGCTCCAGCCAGGCTGGGCAGTCACGCTGATCATGCCCTGCAGTGTCCTCTCCAGGCTGGGAAGGCCATAAAAACGCGGTGCATCAGACACCCGCAGGCTCTGAAGCAAACGGACGGCCAGCTGGCTCTTGAAGGGGCCGGCTAATGCCAAACATAGCCTGGACAGACAGGAAAGGAGAGAACGAGAAAGACAGAAGCGAGCAAATCAGACAGAAAAAGGCAAAAAAGGCAGAAAAAGAGCGATAAAGACTGAATTATTTATACCTAGCACTACAAAAAGGTATTTTGTGTAAAATATGGCTGAATGTTTTGGTAAGGCAAAAAATGCCTCAGCTGTAGTGGAGAAAAAGTATTTGATATGTTAGAAGCAGATAAATCTCAATGATACGCATCACATTATAATGTAAAAAGGAAAAAAAACATCTAACCTGTCCAATGTAATTACAAAGTTGTGTTTTACTTAAAAGTTCAAATTATTTAATCTAAAAAAAAAAAAAAAAAAAAAGAACCACTGGCTGTCATATGTGACTTCACCAAAGGAAGCCACAAGTGTGTCTGTGAAAACCTACCTGTCAGTGGTGTGTGATAGGCAGCGGAGTAAGGTGTTAAAGAAGTGGGTGAGCTCTCTCTGCAGTCTTTGGCTCACATGGTTCTTCACTTCTTGATGCTCCCCTGTGCTCTGAGTTGAGGTCTGGGTCTCCACACCAAGCAGCAAATTCAGCAGAGACACAGCATCCTGGAAGATACGGATACTGTTGAATTGTACCTAATTATTTTAAATTCACCCTCATAATTTGTGCATTCCTAGCTAGTAGTGTTGAGTGTATTTACTTTAGTTATAGAGGTTTTAAACTGAAGGGAGAAAAGAAAAACTGACTTATGGAGTATTATGGAGAGAAAGGCAAGAAGTGTATGCAAGCAACCACCTCCTTCTCTCCCTAAAAAACCTGCCTCTGCAATGCCAAACAGCAGAATTTCATACTGAGCAGTGCACACAGAGTGGGTAGTTAATCCAAGTCTATGAAGTGACAGATGTTCCTGAAACAGCTCAGTAATTACAGAAAAAGTCAGAGCAGCACTGCTCACCCCTGCCAGGCATTCAGTGTGAGTCTTCGTTAGCTGCCAGGGGAGGAATTATTGTTTACACACACATTAATGAGAAAGCCAAGGTGAAACTGATTAAATCCTAAAAGCAGCACTGAAAAAGTGAGATGATTTTTCTGTTAAGGTATAAAAAACCCCCAAAAAAAACCAAACCTATGAATGTGACTTTGTTTTAAGGAAATAATCTCTGCCACAGGCCTGAGGTAGAAAGCTACAAAACTATTTTCAGTTATGAAAAAGTAATATGGTTGTGCGACGGTGTGTGTGTGTTTGTGTGTGAGTGATTTATCCATGCTTTGATTGCATATTTATAGCTTTCTGCTTCTAACCAGATTACCAGCTAATGGAAACACATACACACATATTTTAATGGTACTAACAAGGTGAGCTATGGGGTGACACATAAATAAGATGAGTAAGGTATGTATGGATAAGATGGCCACTAGTTTAATGGGAAACTAGAGTGCTCAATGAATCCATAACTAAAATAATGTGTACACGCTGTGCCAAAAAACTAGGAACTAACTAAAGGAAAATGGCTGGACATTAATAAGATAAGATACCTTTATTAGTCCCACAAGGAGAAATTTCATGTTAAGGCTGCTGACATTACACAAAAACATCTCATAGAGAAGACAGGTCAGAGAGGTATAACAATGGCAAATGCACCACATGAGGAAAGATAAGGAGAAAAAAAAAACTCCCCCCAGACTGAGCTCCACTCTTAATACACCAGAGAAACACACAACAAGCTCAGGGATGGGTAAAGGATGAGAGACAGCCAATGTAGACAGTACATCCGGGCCTGCAGCCTATGCGCTGGTCTCCTTGATCCACCGTCAGCATCGGAAGGGAATAAGCGTCGAAGGCGTTTGGAGGAGGAGGGGGGAGAGTACATCAGCATGTGCATATATGTCTGTATGTGTACGTGTGTGCGTGTCCAAAGTTCAGCTGAGACAGTGTCCTTCGCCCTGCCAGGCTAAGTAAACAGTAATCACTACAAACTCTGTAGCTGTCTGTGTTTGAACCATGCTAAACAGCATAGCTCCTGTTAAATAAAATGAAACTATAATGATTGTTTTTAAAGTGGGGTTTTTCTTTTACACGTGTCATGATGTGTACCTGGTTGAGAAGCAGCTCCAGTATCCAGCGCAGGTCCTCGTCCTCTGAGTCGGCCGCAAATTCAGTGTGAATCTGCGTGAAGTAGGCATTCAAAAATGCAATGATGCCCACCAGCAACCTTTCATCCTCAACACAGGCTGGGCGCACCTGGAGAAACCTGCAGGGAGGAAGAGGAGGAGAAAGAGACAACATTAGAAGAAAAACATGGTTGAGAAGGATAATAAGATTGATTGAATAACACTGATCAGATCAGAGAAATAACTGACATATGTGAGTGTGTGTTTATGGAGACTTATTCCAAAATGTCTTCATTGTTACTGAAGTATTACATTTCATTCATCACTTTTTAGTACCTTGTTGCGTCCTCCTTTTGTCTTCAGACCTACTTTAATTCTCCTTCTTCGTGGCACAAATTTATCAAGGTGCTGGAACCATTCCTCAGAGATTTCGGTCCATACTGACATGCTACCATTACACAGCTACTGCAGATTTGTTGGCCTCACCAGCAATGACCCTCAGGTAGGCTGTGGTGTTTAAATTATGCTCAGCTGGTACTAAGTGACCCATAGTGTGCCAAGAAAAAAAAGATATGCTTTACACTATTACACCACCAGCAACCTGAACACTTCAGCCATATCTGTGTGACTAAATGCACTGGATTACCATCATGTGATTGGCTGATTAGATATTTGCGTTCATAAGCAGATGAACACGTGTACCTAATAAAGTGGCAGATGAGTGTCTATGTCTCACTCAGTTTTGCTAAATATCCATTTCCAAAAAAAACTGAGAACCTGTGTAAATATAAATAAACACAATGCTTCCAGCTTATTCAGATCCTAAATTAAGGGAGAATAGTTCAAAAAACATTTATACAATGTTGAAAAAATACATGTTTATTTTGAATTTGATGTCACCCACTCATTCGGCTAAGCTTATATCTGTATTGCATCACCATTTCTTTCAACAATACTCTGTAGGTTTTTAGGAATTGAGGACACCAGTTGCTGTAGTTCTGAGAGCACAATGTTTTTCCATTTTTGCATTCTTAGGATTTGAGCAGACCAACATTTCAGGGCTTTCTTTGTCATATTTTCGGTTTCATAATGTGCCAAATGTGTTGAATGGATGACAAGTCTGAGCTGCAGGCAAGTCAAATTAGCACTCTTACTACAGAGTCATGCTGTTATAATGCATTCACAAATGTCACTTGGCATTGTTTTGCTGAAATAAGCAAGTTGAAAAAGACATTGTCTGAATGGAAGCGTACGCTGCTCGCAGACCTGAATATATTGTTCAGGTCTGTGCTCAGTTTTTGCCTGTGCTACAACATAAAGTGCATTTTTAAAAGTATAAACATTTCACATCTCATTTTCAATATTTGACATATTGCCTATACCGAATTTTAATCCTTGAATTCTATCTTTATTTACATTTTACACACAGGATTACATTTACTGGTTTTGGTAACAGTGTGAGAAAAGTTCATAAATCCTTGATTATAATTATCTAGTGTACCTGGTCACTGCAGCCTGCCAGCTGAGGGAGTGAAGGGTCTCCCTGCATCTGTAGGTGGGAATGTGTGGGAATGCCAGCCTGTCAATCAACAGGTAGATGCTGAGCCTGGAGAGAGCAGAGGCCACAGAACTGTGCCCTGATGCGGTGACGATGGCCTGGATACAATCCTGCAGCGCAGTGGGAAGGTGCACTGCCTTCAGCCACAAAACTTGTGTTTCTGACAGCTTTAAGTCGGGATGGAATCTGAGGGGAATAAAATGTTAATGGTTTAAAAATGTATATATTCCAAATTAAAGCGCATGACTACTGATGAGCTGGCAAGTTTATTGCTTAAGCAGCAGCCTCAGAATCACTAATGACTGCATTAACAGTCATATTTGATCACCAGTCTAGTGGGATGAGACATTTATGATTCATCAGAAGTTTTGAGAATTTCTTACGACTGATTAAAGCAGAGGTAGCCATGTTTTTTTTGAGTGTGGTAACAAAAAACAACAACAATATCTGAAGCTGATCGCTTTGATACATAGCTATACTTCACATAAACACTAAGTACAAAGAAGACACCCGTCTATTTTATTGACTAATCAATCTTAAACAAGTGCTGTTTTCCCCAGTCACAGCATTGTGTGAAATTCAGTTTAAGATGGACTAATCCATCCATGGTGTGCTTCAAACATCTGTGCTGTAATCAAGCTGGCTGAATTTGGGAGAGACACTCTCATTTGTTTGAATTAGGTCACATTAGAAGTAAATGAAGACAGATGAAACACAAGATGGCAAGGCTGAATCTAAAACTTCACCGCATGCTCTACAACAGGGAATGTTTTAAAAGAGTGATATCTATAACTCAAAGCCTTTTCTCAAAAAAGAAAAAAAAAAATCCTGTCACAGAATTATTGCTCAGGTAAGTTTCTTTGGCAGTCTACTAGACTACTTTGCTTGACACAGAAACATTCATCTACCATGGTGTCCAATCTCTAATTTAATCCTAATTTTTAAACACAAAAAAAGAACACACATGAAACGCATTAGTACAATGGCCACACCTAACATTTGCACATATACAGTTGGAAATATGAAGGAGCTTACTCGCTGACATCTCTAGCAATGCCACAAAGCTCCTGAAGGCGGTTATCTATCCCAGAATGCCACGCAGTGTTCCAGGCCACCTGTAGGGCTTGGCGGGCAGGGTTAAGAGTTTGGAGGTCAGACGAAGGCACCAGTACGCAGCAGTACGGACTAACAGCATGATGAGTTGCTGCCTGAAATGGAACGTTGTACCTTGAAGAAAGATTAAAAACAAAACTGTGAATATTGTCTGTCAAGTGTTTTAATGACAGGGAAGTAAAAAAAGTGGCAACGAAGCACAAGGCAATATTTAACACTGCTGCTGACCTCCAGAAGTTTATGAAGGTCTTACCTGCGTGTTACTGCCAATGGCAGGGAGAATGGTGTGACGCTCACTTCTGTGGTGGACGTGTCAGACCTGATGACAGAAAAAGAGCACTGCAGTATTAAAAGGATGAACATTAACGCATGCACAAATGGAAATTTAAAGAGAGGAAAATTATGCTCACCATAAGTCAGTGCTGGCGATCTCATCAAATAGCAGTAAACTCATCAGAACAGCAATCTCACTTCCATCGCTTTTGTTCTCCTTCAATATCAACGATGCTATAATGAAGACCAGAATAGGCAATTTACATAACAATGACATCCAGAACTTTATCACTTGAGTCCATAAGAAGATTACAGAAGTAATAGTGAAGTAGTAGTTTATATTGCAAGAATTTATTTGCGAAAATAAACTTGCAAACACTTTTCTTATTAAATGTAAGACTCCACTGAATTTAAAATGTGGTTATGTTTAAAACACTGCATATCTTTTGCATGAATACATTTCAATAAAGCTCTATTTTCTGTCTAGACCTGACTAAAACCATTACGCAAATATACATAAAATCACTTGAATTAAATGTCTTTTAATTTATAAACCAAGTTACATTTTAGCTCAAATTTATGCAACAAATATTAGAGCTGCTGTATATATTACCAACTACTATTAAGACTAAGCTGTTAAAAGTGCACTGCTGCCGAGCCGAGCTCTGTGGCAACAAGTTGCATCATACTAATATGCTACTTACTACAGTGTGACAGCATGGTTAAAAGCTATGCATCAGTGGATGACTTGAGAATATGGCCCCGAGCTACTCGACACAATGTGTGTAGCTGTTATTTAATGAGTTGTCTTGTGAATGTACCCCTGAGCAGTGTGAGGAGCAGGAGCTGCCGCTGTGCCAGGCTGTGCCTCAGAGATGGATCAGCGTACACCAGCTTTCTCAGGATACATACACAAGGCTCCAGTAGACAATCAAACCTCTGGGGAAAACAGCAACATACTCACTCGGTGTTTAATTGCAAGGAAAACACAAACAAAGCCACACGCTGCCAGTCGGCCTCGCCTTGTTCTGCCTCTCACAAATGCACAGGATTTCTTTAGTGTCAGCTCGCATAAGCTATACCTAAATTCTGTGACTGTGAAGGTTGCAGGCAAGGGAGGTTGGGAACAAATACAAGTCATTCTCTGTAGCCCTGTTACTCCACATCCATGTAGCGAGACATGTTGGACGATTACCCTCGGCAGTTTCTGATTAAAAGCCTGGGAATGGTCAGCAGACTGCATCAACTACAGGCCAGAAATCACTGCTGACCAGGGCCTGTCTGACAATATTTATACACGCCATTTCATCCTTCTATCATTCACGGCTCAGTGGTTTTCCTGCATCCACACATGAACTCACGTGAACACATAAACATGGACATATACATAAACGAGACAACATGTGACTGTATATATTTGGGTTATTGAGTTTCAATAGTAACTGTTTCAGTAAGCATCTACAGTCTGTTTCTTCTATTTACCTTGTTGCCATTTACACACTCCATAATTACAGAAAGGACTTTATCTGTTATTCCAAGGTTCTTTAGTACTGGGTGCATTGCTGTGTCTAAAGGGAAAGAAAGAAAACCGTTCAATATATGTCAAAACACACACACACAGTAAAGTATTGGGAAACAACAAACACTGGTGCCCTTACTACAAATTGTAGTTTTAACACAGCGTTTTGCGTATCACAGACTTTTATAATTGATTTACATTTTAGTGAATGCAGTTTTTGCAAAGCTTTTTCTGGGAGTAATAAGACATTCAAATCATCAATTATCCAGATGTAAATTAACATCTCTAAATCCTTGTATTATCACATTCTAAAACTGGCCTGGATGTGCCACCAAAGTCAGTGTTTCCCAATAAAAGAATCATTTCAATAAAAATAAAAAGCATTTTTTTCTGAAGCGAAGCATTCTCACAGTGGAATAGCAGTGTATCTGAAAACCACCAGGGTTTTATTCATTACAAACCTAAGGAACAAGTTCTGTCATTTTGCAGGGAAGTTCCAACTTTTGAGAGCTGACAATAAGGAACTAAATCTGTCTAACTTTTGCAAAACATTATTTGCTGTTTGATAAGCTGAGGTTTCATCTTTTCTATGAGCATTCGTTTCATTCCAGCTCAGTGTGACAGTTTCTGATGCTGTTTCGCTGCTCTCATCTGCTCTCAGTGGCACCATGCATGTGTCTTCCAAACTCCAATACATGTGTTTGTGTAACAGACACACACGGAGCAGAGGAGCTGATGACAATTTACCAAGTTACTGTAAGTAAAACTTGCAAAGAATAACATTTTATTCTGTGCAAATGGTCAGCTGACGATGACAGTTTTTTGAGATATTGTGGATTACTGAATATAGCCCATGCTTTTTCCCCCTCTCTCGCTTGAAAGAGCTGAATGTAGACAGTACATTTCCTTCTGTATAATAATATACAGAAGGAAACGAATAACAATCTATTAGTTATTAATCTTTGGCTCTCTTCCACAGTGTGTCTCTTCCCTCACCCTCATCCGGTCGCAGATGGCCGATCCTCCCTGAGTCTGGTTCTAACTGAGGTTTCTTACTCTTAAAAGGGAGTTTTTCCTTCCCACTGTCACCAAGTGCTTGCTCTTGGGTCATCTAATTGTTTGGGTTTTCTCGATATCATTGAATTCTCTTCACCTTATAATATAATGCACCATGAGGTGACCGTTGTGATTCAGAGCTACATAAATAAAATTTTTAATTTTGCATTGAACTGTATAGCCAGAAAACTTGTTGTTGGGGCTCACAGATGTAGATTGGAGCAGGTATCCAAATGGTAAAGCAGCAATATTAGCACAATTCACATGCCAAATAAGACAAATCGGTGCATTAAATGTGTGAGTTATACATATGTGCAAAGTATATGTAGAGGGTGGAGCATAGCCTACACGAGTGATTGATGTCACTTGGCGTTCTTCTGTTGCTCTGCAATTTAGCTGCCAAAACACTAGTCAGCAGTGGAGTTTTCCTCCAGATGATTAAAAAAAGATGGCATAAGAAGTAGCTTGAGTAGTAACTTAGGATTAAATGGCAGTAATGAACGGGCCAATCAAAGTCATCGTAACTACATGTTGACACAACTCACATTCCTAGAGTAGTGCACGTTAGATCATAGTTTAAGTTATGGCGTTGAGTTTTAAAAAGGTCTGCGATTAAGACATACCTATGATGCAGATTCAATGCAAGAGCACAAATCTTAAGCTACTTAAGACATGAAGGGATTACTATAATTGGAAAAAAAAGAAGCTTCTAAATATGTAATTTTGAGGAAAAAGACAATGACAGAAGGATCTTAAAATATACTTTTACATATGTAGTCTAATCTAATATTAAGCAACTTGCAAAGTAAGGCTGATAAGTTGCTTTTACAAGCTTTAACCTGCCAGAACAAATATTTAACTTGGAAAAATATTAAAATCAGACAAAAGATGAGTTTATAATACTACTATAAATATAGCTTTTACAGATATCTCACCTTGTAGCACCACAGAAAGCTGTTCTGCAGCTGACCTTTTCAAGGTGATATCAACCATGTCTGAGTAGAGGATACTAAACAGCTTCTCAACAGATTCCACCTAAGACATAAAATAAACACATAGGTAAGCACTTACTTTTATTAGTGCACACATCAGTTTTGTGTTATGTATGCAGGATTATACCTTTAGAACAGACTTCTTGCTGGTATCAAGTGTGATGTCTAAAGGGTTTTTAAGGCAGAAGAGGTTGGGGAGCGAGGCAATCATTTGTTGATCCAGTTTTGGCCGGGCTGTATTTGAATCGTCGCTTCCAGTGAGGTGGGGCAGGAATTGCTGCACTGCTGCTATTCTCACACTGTTAATAATGAAAGAATATAAGCAGGTGTAGTTAAGGACTTATAATTGCTGCAAAACAACCTAATTCATGCGGCGAAGCAAAAAAAACAAAACAAAAAAACATTTACAGTTTGATTTTTCAAACAACAACTCAAGAAATAGCTGGCAGTGAAGGCGGCAGCTCTATTACTTGCTGCCAGAATTTACCAGGGCTTCTCTGGTGTTGATTTCCATTTCTATCAATATTCATAGATTGGGACCGGATGAGAAAGTGTTTTACACAGGCCTCGAAGAGCATTTGGTTGACATGACAAGCACCTGACAGCAACACAGAGGCCTAATATACCCACCACAAGTTGGAGAGTACATTTTCAGGCTCTTGAGTGTTTGTCTGGCTAACAAATAATCCCGAGAACCGACGTCAAAAATCATCAAACAACTCCACGAAAGGAAAACGGAAAAAAGAAAAGAAACATGCCAGACATCCAAGTATACTCATCACAGGCACAAACACACACATTTCTGATATGCACACAATTCCGGGCAGGCACAAAATGCTCAAACGAGCACAGAGAGAAACAACAAGAAAGAGCAACAAAGGAAAGACCCAGAGAAGAGACTCACGCGGGCTGCTTAGTGAAAAGGAGTCGCAGTGCCGCCTTTAGTTTGGCTGTACTTGGGAACACACTGTCTCTTGCCATGTCCGACATGTCACTTATCAGCAGGACGCAGTTTCCCAGTGACTCCTCGGTGCTGGCGTAACCCTGCCGCACACAGACACACAAACACACACAATTCTCAAGACTGCCTTGGCAGACAATAAAGCAAACAATGGGGAATTCCAGCAAAGCGGTGCAAAAGTAAATAAAATATGCATCACTTTGATTACGGGTGGTTTCGTTTTGTCTCTTGTTGACATGGTGGGCCCATCTCTGAATGGCCTTCTTGAATTAAATCACACTTGACAGCCTAGTCAAAGCCTCATGTTTATTCATGAAGAATTTCCTGGCTTTCTGTTCCCTGGAACTGAACAATTAATAAAAAGTTTTTGTTTCTCTTCCCCTTCCACTCAAAAAGGAAACAATATAACAGAATATGTAAATGAGAAAATAACCAAATTTTTCTCACTGGCAGCTCAATGCACAGTCTTTGTGGTCCAAGAGTGCTAATATTGCACTTTTGATCATAGCTGTTCTCATTGTAGGCAACATACACCCATTCTTCCCTTCCATAAATATTGTTTAATAAGCTCCAATGAGATGTGCGCTTTATGAGCTCTGCAGTGCAAATACTACTGAGCCTCTGAAGAGATTACAACACCTGTAATATGGGCATGACCGGGTAAAGTGCCTCATTGAATCTGTCCCAGGCTGATGCTGTCATCATCAATCGTCCCTTGAGCAGGAATAGCAGGATATCCTTGGCAAGAGCATTCACCTATAGATCACAGGTAAAGTGCTGAGTTCACAAAGGCATTGCTGATAAAACATCTACTAACAAGTACTCCATGTGACAACTTTGAAATGTCTGAATAATTACACAGGTTTAGCGTGTAATGTCCAAACCCCCTCCACAAACCCCTCTGCTTTTAATCTCATGATTACCTGTGAGTGACTGTACTCCATTATCAGAATGAGCTCTCTCAAAGGTCTAAAACTTGAAAGGTATAAGTAGTACATTTACCTTTTGTGCCGAATCTTGGAGTCCAAAGGTGCTTATTTCATAGAGCACCCTGTGGTGGAGAAGGAAGCTAACTCCAGCACATGCCCCTGGTTCCTGACGTGTCGCATTCTGGATGCCAAGGCAGTCCTAGGGGTATATGTAATCACACCAGAGCACATCATAAATTATCACTATTCTCACTTGTGCTCGCATATAAGAGTTTCAATTCACTTTAAATGTAGAAACTCACTCTAGTCAGTAATTGGCAAAATGAAAAGAAAGACTGATTTCAAATGTCAAGTGGGTTTTTTATAGTGGCCTGTCAAAGAGCCGTGACTCATCCATCATATTTACATATGGGTGCCCCACTAAACAGGCTCACATTAAGGCTATATCACACTCATATATTTTAACCATGACCCTCCGCACTCATCCAAACAATGACTGTCTATATAAGATGGCTTGCTCTAACCTTGACCAGGTTTAAAGTGCATTCATATGTTTCTGTCTTGACGGGCAGTAAAGGATGGGCCAGCAGCTTGAGGAGGAGTTTCTGGCTCTCCGTTTGGAGGAGGGGACTGGGCTGTTCAAACTTCCACCTATAAGAAGATAATCAAATGGATTTTAACTAACTTCGTTAGCAAAAAAAAAAAAAGTCATTACTATGACTGACTTCAGATCTGATGTCTTACAGATAAGAGCAAATGTGAACACATTCTTTGATGATAGGCAAGTGCTGGTGAAATGGAAGGCCATCTATGGCTTGGTCTGCCAGCTCCACTAACTCCAGCCAATTCTTCTCCCCCTTGAGAAAAAAAAATACAATGTTTAATTAACAGTCAAGTAGTGATGAGATACAGTCTGAAAAGACTTCACTATAGTCATATATAATCATATACTTTGTTCAGGGATAACATTATGACCACCTGCTTAACACTGTATTGGTCCCCATTTTGCTGCTAAAACGGCTCTGACCCATTGAGGCATGGACTCCGCTAGACCTCTGAAGGTGTGTTGTGGAATCTGGCACCAGGTCTGATCCACTTCCATGGATCAGACGTCTTTGTCTAGCACATCCCACAGAGGTTTGATTGGCATCTGCACAATTTTTAGGTCAAGTCAACACCTCGAACGTGTTGTTGTGTTTCTAAAACTATTCCCGAACCGTTTTTGTTTTGTAACAGGGCGCACCATCCTGCAGAAAGAGGCCTATGGGAATATGGGGTAACACCATTTTCACGAAAGGCTATACGTTGTCTGGACCTGAGGTAGGTGGTGCATTTAGAAGTAACTTCCACATGGTTGCCAGGACACGAGGTTTTCGTAGCAGTATACTGCCCAAACCATGACACTGCCTCCATCGGCTTGCCTTCTTCTCATAGTGTATTCTGGTGCCAGGTGTTCCCCAGGCACATCCTAAGATGCACCCGGCCAGCCATGTGACGGGAAAGAAAATGTGATTCATCAAACCAGCCAATCTTCTTGATGCTCCCCACGTGCATCAATGAGCCGTGGCCACCCATGACCTTGTCCCTGGTTCAGCACTATTCTTCGTTGGACGACTTTTGATAGACACTGACCACTGCAGACTGGACACAGACATATATAGCTACAGTTTTGGAGATGCTCTGACGTGTTGCCTAGCCATCACAATTTGATCCTTACACTCAAATCCCTACGCTTGCCCATTTTTCCTGCTTCTAATACATCACCTTTGAGATAATCACGTTTACTCACGTCACCTGTCAGTTGTCATATTGTTATGCCTGATCAGTGTGTAGTGTATCCATATATATATACGTATAAAGGATGCCTAGTATTTGTATTTGATGTGGTGATTATACCTCCGCTTGTGCTTCCCTGAGAAAGATGCAAGTGGATTCCATCCAGAGGGCAGCTCGGGTCACCCTCCTGTAGATTTCATGGCTGTCCGAGTTCACCTGCTCCAAGTAGGCCACTGCTGTCTCTTGCATGCTGGGTAACAAACTTCCCAATGATGTGTCCAAGCATAAGTGGAAAAGAGCTGTTGCAGTGTTTTCTGGGAGATTGTCACTAGCCTGTGTGATGTTCATAGAATGATTAACTTTCAAATGGAAAACAGTAACTGAATCAAAGTGATTCTGTCACACAAGCACACACACCTTCTCGGGTGGGAGGATGGTCTGTAGGAGTTTAATGGTAAATATGGCAGCGCCTATGTAGGCTATTCTATGGTGAACCTGAGAATTGTTGGGAATATCCACTGAACAGCTGTGGTGATAGCTCAGTATATCCCCCAGTAGCTCCATGCAGGTTTGCAGCTTCTCTTTCTAAAATAAACACAAGCAAAAATGTAGACAAACACACACACTGCCACACAAACGCACCAATACGTGCACATGTACTCGCACTGTGTGAATGTTCACACACACTCAAGACACAGCTTCTGGCTGCGAGCCAAGAGAAAAATTGTTCGTTCCAGAGGTTAGGAATTGAATGTAATCAGATTTCAGGGTTATTTTGGGACGAGATACAGATCCACCCTATCTCTGTATGAATAAATTGGAACAATCTATTCTCAGCCACTTTGTTCTGGGTGTAAAAATTGTTCAATGGAAGATGAACACCAGCAGGGGGCAGTACATGCCCTCTGCATTGCTGAGGCGGGCATGAACAGTTTGGTCCATTCCCACAGGAAAAACCTAGAGGTTTGGCACACAAAAGCTGCTCTCCACATAAAGATGACAAAATAGTTCTCAGGCTGCAAGGCTCTGGGCATGTATTAAACAGCAGAGGGCCACAGGGGCCTGGACTTGACAAGTGTGTAAATCCCCCTGCAGAGGAACATACCCTTTAAAACAGCCATGCAAGATAACAAATGATTCTGCATGGTAAAAAAAAATACACCTGTTTAACACAATCTATTGTGTGGACTTTATGCATGTAATAAATGAAGACATTTACTAGCCCTGCAATTCTGTGCTGGGATAAACCCAAGGGTACAGATGGGAAGTTTGCATGTATGCAAGAAGTGCTTTATAACCAGCAGAAAGCCTCTGTAACCTTTATATAACACATAACGCTCAATCACGTGCCCGCAGTTCTCCTTGACAGTCGAATACCGTATGCCTGTGTGTCTGTGGCAAATTGTCTGGTGGCCAAGTCAGTTCCCCTTTTCACTGAAGTGTCTATTCATCTACATAAGAGGCTGTCATGAGTTGTGTTGACTTGCCAGCTCCATCCCCGCCAGGCTGCGATCGTCCCAGACCAGCTCACAAACGCTGTCCCCAAGCAGGAGGACAGCGTCACACAGCAGCTCCAGAACGCGATGGAAAGCATGCAAACCTTCTGAGAAACAGCAGAGTGAGAGAGAAAACAAAGCAAGAGCAGAAGAAATGTTTTGACGTGATCAAATAACAATGGAGAGAATCCAGTCAATGTAGAGAAACAGGTGAGGGAATCTTAAGTTCAAAAAATTTAAACAAACAAACAATTGAGACTGAGATTATTGATTAATGGCTTAAAAAATAGTTTTACCACTCATATTTGACCAAATAAGATCATTTGAAAAAGACAAGCAAACTGACACTTACCTGTCTTAAGCAGTGGTATGGCACACTCCATAGAGGCAACAGTAAACTGAGCCAAAGTGAGCTGCCGCAACTGCAACTCCAACACATCTTCTACACCCAGATCAGGAAGCTCCACATGGGCCACATCTGCAGGTGAATGGGCCATCTGTCTGGGGGCCTGGACTGCTCCTCCACTTCTGTGTGAGCTGCCACTGGATGAATTGCACACAGACGGAAAGACAACTGTAAATTTGTGATCTGTTCTTGGACCATTCAAATGCAAGGAGTGACGTATCCGCTGTATAGGGATGGAACATAAAAATGAATATGCCATCACATGAATCAAACCTGATTTTTAAACACTACAGACCGGCCGCTAGAGGGCTCCTAGTGTTTTCATATTGAGAAGAACATCCTTCACAGTCTTTCTTTTCTTTCACACTGCTTTATCGTCTTGTGTGGGCTGCTGGCGTCACTAGTGATTTTGTCATTATCAAAGCCGCAGAAAACCCTACTGTGCACAAATTCTCAAAGAAATGTAAGACTCACTTCTTAAGCCTAATGAAAAGAATCGAAAATGTTGAATCACGTCAAGAATATCATTTCTACAAGCAAGGTAGAATGACTAACGTAATACCACGCACGCCTCAGAAGTGTGACAAAAAGCTAAAGGGAGTCTCTACTCTAGGAGCCAATATGATTACTAACATCTATGCAAACAATACCTTAAACCAGAAAAGATACACAAAAAGAGACACATTTTTATTGTTTTTTTTTAACAATATATTTCAAACATGCAGTCATTTCAATTTCATACACGTACCTATTAGAAGCTGCGTCTCCATCTTGACCATCTCCTCTGGCTCTCTGGCTTGTGCGTCCCACTAAAGAAGGCCGGGGAGAGCACTCGGACCCAGGAGAGGAGGCCCCCGAACGCTGGGTCCCCAGAACCTCCTGGGTGTAGGAGAAGGACGAGTTCTGAGAAACTGGATCTACACATCCACAAATAAATAAAACAAATAAGTTAAATGCTTTGATATTTGTTAGACATTGATTTGTGAATATAAAAATTAGGAATTCACGTTGTGGAAGCAATATGTTCTAGATCGGTTTTAGACTTGAGTTACAAGAAAAATACAGCTGATTAACAGAGGTGATAGATACCAGGTAGTGATTTACTTATATAAGCATGCAAAAATAGCTGAAAAATCACCACATAGATGACAGTGGAAGGCATTGATATCATTATTTAAAAACAAGTAAAAAGGGCACGCTACCTTGTTTCGCAGAGTAGAAGCTTGGGTCTTGATGAAAGCGCAGCCGCCTTCTTAATCCCACACAAAGCTGCCGGAGACAGGAAAGAGCCGACAAGTAGATGTAGCCTGACTCCTCTTTACCTGGACCCAGCCTCAATAGGGACAGAAGGCTCTGTAAATGGAACGGGACATTAATGGCATAACAGATTACATTACTGCTAAGGTGTTCAGTGGATGAACACCTTGTAATATCCAATAAAAGTTTATTGCAAATGTGTAAAAACTGCATATTAGTCAATTTACAAAGCTACGCCGAGACAAACACACTGTATACCAGACTTAAAGTCAAGACTGACAGAAAAGCCGTAATAAAGTTCACTGGATAAAAAGGGCAAATGGAATTGAATTATTGAAGCAGCAATTTGTTCAGAGTTCAGATTCCCTGCCCTCTGAAGCTAATGATGTCATGTATCTAAATTCAAGCCTTTTAATTTTGCTTAATGGCTGCAGTAGCTCGAAAGAGGACCAAGTAAAGCCACAAGAAGTACTTTTCTGTAATCATTTCTTTTTTGGTGATGACACTGCTGGGTGACAGTATGTTAATGCTACCGTGAGACCGATGTAATTTAATGCACCACTTTATTAGCAAAATAGTAATGTTCACTGTGGCTCATCGGGGCAAAATGATGTCTCCCCCAAAACTCTTTTTATGCCAGTGAAACAAAGAGCTCACAGAACTGATGTGCTTTGTTACCAAGATGACAGTGGGGAGATACATCACACGGTGTTGCTCGCTTTAAAAGGAATGGAGACGGAGTATGTATAGCTGTACAAAGTGGAAACTCATTGCAGACTTCAGTATTACGACCCCATGGATCAGCTGCCAGCAGAAGCCAGCAAGGGCCATCGAGGTCGACAACTGTTCAAAGGCTGTGCCCGACAGCGTCCTGTTATACAGAAACTCTGCTGCTCAAGGAGGCCTTTGAGGGAAGAAGCAAAATGTTCTACCAAGGACTTTCACACCTTGCAAGAGGTACATCATGACAAAACTACATCCTAGCAGCAATCTAGTACCTGCTCAACCAAAGTAAGCCTTCGGGAGCCTCACAGCCTCCTACAAGATCAGGGACGCAGAATTATAAATGGATGCTTTGTTCAAGGACACCATTTGACAGGTTATTATTTTGACAGTGGTTGGAGTGACCATCCTATAAATCCGCTATGAGCTGGTCACGCTAGCCACTCAAAACAGCGCACTGCATCTAATCGATGTGAATACCATTTGGCTAGAAAATAAAACCAGACTCTGATTTTTTGATTGGCATCTTCAACTTCGTTTCTTAGGAAACCGACAGTGAATAAAGCATTTTCAAACCAAGCGAGAGCAGCGTTTGTATTCAGTACAGAGATCGTTTCTGAACATAAGCACTACACATGATGGTTGCTAAAAATCACAGAGTCTATAAAATAAAAACAGTGAGAGCTCTTCTAATGCCCTGATAATTAAATAATGGAAATTGCAATCACTACAGCATTGTCTCTTTCTGGTCGAGTGTGAACATTCTCTTTATTAAAAAAACATAAAAAACAAAACAAACAAACAAAAAAACTACAAACCCCCCAGCATAAATGTAGAGACAATAGACATGTGTACACAATAACAGTGAAAAAACACCCAGATTCAATACCTTTACAATGCCCGGCCTTTGCAGAAAGATCTCAGCAGGAAAGTCTTGCATAATGACATCACACAGAAGTTCACAAGTCGTTCGCACTAGGTTGGTATTGCTGCTCCCCAAGGAACTGTTTCAAAAGAACCACAACAGAGTTATTTTTAGTCTCACACGCTTGTGGAGTTGATTAATACAAAGAATTTCAGCAGTAAAGAACAACACAAATACTATGCAATGTATAGAACTGGGCATCAAATAAAAACAGGTTTGAATTCAGAAATGGTTGAAAAACAAAGCTAATTATAATACAATTAAACTGGGTGAAAAGTGTAATATGCTACCACTTAAAGACATGCATTTGTCTCTTACTTCTCATTGGAAGAAAGTATGTGCCTGTCTGTGTTTGTCAAAGTCAGCCATGGAAACACAGAAAACTTCAGACATCTCACAGATTCGTGCTCTATATAACACAGAGGGATAAAGCATGAGTCCTTTAACAAAAATATCATGCATAAAACATTAGAGAAAGATTTTTTTCAAGCAAAAGGTACCTGCTATCTTGTGAGGCGGTATATCCATATTATTTGGCATGCTCTTGTGGAAATAACCCATTTTAGGCAAATCCTCTTGAGCTGAAACAACAGAGACACGAGACTTGTAGCTGGGATAACATCTCCGTACAAGAAAGTTTAAAGCAGTTTGGTAATATAGACCATTTCAACCAAACTGCCTCTAATATCATATTGTGAAAATTTTGTATTTTATGAATGACAGACGCTAAAGTTAAACAAATAATTGGCCTAACGTTGAACACCTTTTGAAGATGTACTACGTGGTCCATGTGAATAGACAACTACGCGACTGGGGAGCAGTTCTGGTAGGTGGAACAGCTGGTCCAGGGTTCCATCAATGACAGCTCGCAGGCTGGGCTCCACGTTAGGAGACAGTTGGGTGAGAAAGTCCACCGCCCCAACGTCTCGCAGCATCTGGGCTGCACTTGGATGCTCCAAGACACAATAGTGCATAATCAGAAAACTGGAAATTCTATGTCTTGGTTTGATATTGTGTAAATTTTATACAGGTGACATAAGGTTTTGGAATCATGCGGTGAAAATCAGGACAAAAGTAAATCCTTCATTAATTATGCATTTTAAGCCTGGTTAGCTTTTGGAAAAAGAAAAAAATACTGAAGCTAAGGCCAAAATTACATTTAAAGTTCACGAGTGTAATTTGCCATCTGGCAGACTGCTCTTCTCTACCTACAATTCTTGATTTATTCGCCTTGCGTTGCATCTATTATCAGTATACTTCTTATCTACCTTTGATAAGGTTAAAAGCAATTCAAGGGCCTCTTCCTTCATTGGCACCTCGGGGAAATTGAACCACTCCAGAAGATACACAAACAGCATCTTCTCCTGGACAATATCATGGACGGAAATCAGGGAAAGATCCAGCTTGCATAAGATGCTCTTCAATGCTCGCACTCTTATCTCCACCAGAGAGTGACCTGAAAGTTATGAGAAATCAAAAATATTAAACAGGGGAAAAATTGGAGCAGAGTTAGCAAAGGCAGCTAAGGTTCCCTGACTCGGGGTTCCTTTACAAAGTTAAACAGTTTCATGATAATTTAAGTGCTGTTATTCCAAACAATGACAGCCACATATAAAAGTTGAGAGAGAGCTGCTATTGTTAGCGGCTAACGGGTTTTGTCATCATTAGTTAAAGTAAGCTATAGTCAGCTTCTTGCGCGGTATTTTCCTAGCTAACAGTTCAACTCACCCATTTTCCTTATAATGGAAGATAAATCCATGCTCGGTGTCAAGTTATGATAAGTTCTCCTGTGTTAAAGTTAAGTAAAAGCTTCGACCGAGGTTTGTGCATCTGCTGAGCTGTTGTTCGCCAGCGTCATGTCAACAACGTCTGTTTTCAACTACCGCGCCAGCGTCACTCCACTTCCTGTGCAGGTCAGGACCGGGTGCGTTTACTTGAAGCAACGGTGTAGGAAAACTGATACACTGCAGAATTAAAGCTCTATTTTATTTTACATTAACACAAGTTACCTTGGAGGAAATATTTCAACTAACTTAAAGTAAAATATTCGTATATCACATAATCATAATATAACATAATAACATTTTCATTCATTTAAAATAAATACGCCACTAAAGGGTCAAAAGAATCCCGAGGGACCATAAATTATCAGCAGCTGCAAAAAAATAAATAAACACCTTAAAAAGTAATAAGAATAAATCGACCTGAGACAAACAGTGTGTCTTTTAACTGTATAGAAAGTAGACTTACATTCAGACAGTGACAAAAAAGTTAAAGTTTATTTATAATGAAAAGGGTAAGATTAATGTATTGAAGCAAGGGTTTGTTGAAAGTTGATATTCCCTGGCCTTTGAAGATAGTGGTATCATGTTTCTAACAAGCCCCAGTGGTCATACGTGGCAGGGATCCATCTATTTTTCTTTATAGTAGTGAAACTTGCGGTGTTATAGTTATAGTCAGAATGTTACATACATTCATCATGGCCATGAATGTCAAAATAATGTTGGTCTTTTAATGATTTCTGTGAACTGTTCTTTTTCCAGGGTGAAATTATTCCACAGCATACATATTTGATAGCTTTAAACAACAAGAATTGAGTGGACAAGTTTGAATTTATTTTGAATTTTTTCTCATTCAAACTGGGTCAGTAGTAGACATACAGGCTCAAATATATACACAATAAATACATTCACTTAAACCTTTTAATAAGTTGTAATAAGTTGTGCTAACTTCTCATTAGTGATCAAGTATGACTGAAATTTGCAGTTGCATACACAGACAGGACAAATGTCTTCTAGAGAAGTGTTTTATGCTTAGATGAGACAAAGATTGAGCCACAGTAGCAAGAGGCTTTCAAACTTACAAGCACTGTACCAAATGTCAAACTCGGTGGTGTTAGCATCATGCTCTCGGCTCTGGTACATTGCACAAAATGAATAAAATAATGAAGGACGGGCACTGTCTCTAAATTCTTCAACTTCACATCAGTTCAGCAGCTAGATGGTTGAAACTTGGATATTGTTGGGTGTTCCAACAGGACAATGATCCCAAATGCACTTCAGAACTGGTTTTGGAATGGATAAAGCTGGCTAAAATTAAGCTTTTGGATTGGACTTTCCAAAACCCCAATCTCAACCTCCTATTGAAAATTTGTGGAATATGCTTAAAAGGATACCAGGAAATCAACTAATATAAATGAACTTTACCAATTCTACTAACAAGAGCAGTCGAATATAAAACCAGAATTAGACCAGAAGTTGGTTAAAAGCTATCAAAAGCATCTGGTCGAAGTGCAACTTGTTAAGGGACATTTAGCAAAATATCAGATGGGATGTATGTATATATTTGAGCCTGTATGTATATTTTGATCAGTGTGGATTAGAGAAAATCCTAAATAAATTCAAACTAAAAGCTGAAACCTGCCATGAAATTCAAGCTTATGGCGAGTTGAGATACATTTCTAACCACAACTGTATTTTGCCCTCGCCTCTAATCTTACCAACACTGATAACAAAAGTCCTGAAACCATTTTAGTAGAGGGACCTGAGACCTGCTTAGGAGATGCATGCACTGTAAATCACAGGCGATCAACAAATGTCTGTCTCTTGTCGGCATCTTGTTTGTCATGACCCATGTGATGTGCAGTTTGGTTACAGACCACTCTCATTTGATGTTTTGAAAGTTTCCACAAACACCCTGAAGCAATTTCTCTTTCTAGCATCAGCAGTGTTTTAAGGCATCTCTCAAAAACTCTGAAAGGCTGTTGCATTGCTGACATACTGAATAAATTAAATCTTAACAGCATCTATGTTGTCCTGTCATTAAACACAGATGCTCTCAAAAATCAAAGTTGATGTGATTCACCTCTTAACACGACTACAGGTGTAAATTATTTTCATATTCTAGCTGTAGAAGCTCTCACACTCGAGATGGGACGTGGATGTGATCCGCAGACAGGGTGATAATTAACAGACTTCGCAAATGATAATTTGATATCCTAATAATATAATCACACAGCTTTTGCAAATTCCAGGAGGATTTAAACCCATAATTAATTTAGCCAGATACTATAGGGCATGTTTTACTATCATATTAATGCATTAAGCATTAAAATGGATATAAAGTCTAATCCAAGACTCTTTTTAAAAATTTCATCACATATAGATTCTTCTCAGCTTGCTTCAAATGTATATACAACATTTTATTCCGTCGCAGTCTTTGCCAACATCAAATACAGCTTTATTGCTCCAGAGAGCCACGTATGAAACATAGCACAAGGTAAGCCAGATATTCTAATCTAAGGTGATGTTTCATAGCTGTACTATTAAATGCAAAATCCAATTTTTATACATCTATTCAATTTTGAATGCATTTGTTGTTGTTGAGAACCTTTGCATCTTGACCAGAATTGAAAACAATGCTTTGTGGGTTGGAACAGAGCTTGTCTGCACAACATGAGTCATATTGATGGGCTTGCCAGAGGGTCCATTGACCTGTGGAGGTTAAAAAATTTATTCCAGTTCTCTCAGCCTCTGATATAGTACACAGGACAGAGTTTTTATGAATGTTTCTGACATTCTACAGATGTACAATGAGAATACAAAGTGGGAATTCTGACATCCGAGCAGCTGAGGAGGTCTTCTTTTACCTGGAAGAAAAATACATTGCCCTAGGTCAGACTAGGAGTTTTCAGTAGCTGTTGAGTATTCACCAAAGAGTACATCACTTCATTGTTTGACAACCACGCTGTGTCTTGGATCACTTGTTAACACCAGCTCCAGACAGGAAAGAAAACACAAAAACAGAATAATTGAAAACATGGGGTAAGGTGAAAACATGGTGTTATTCATTATCCCGTTTGTTTGTCATGAACTCTGTTTTCCCCTCTGATATTTACACAAAATCTCCCTATTTGGTGTTTTGTACTCCCATCTTTTAATTTATATTTAACACTCATCCTGATGACATATTTAACCCTTAATCCACCCTTTGTCCACCCTTTGGAGGAAACTCATTTCCGTTGCTGGTATCCACCTTCTTATTCTTTCAATCACTACCACAGCTCGTGACCAGAGTGTAGACTGATTTGTAAATCGACAGCTTCACTTTCTCACTCAGCTCTCTTTTTACCACAACATACCAGTATAGTGTCTGCATCACTACTGATACAAAACCAATCTGTCTGTCCATCACTTGTGAACAAGACCCTGAGATACTTGAACTTCTCTACTTGGGTCAGCAACTCATCCCTGACCCAGAGTGGGTAAGGCCCCATTTTCCAGCTGAGAACCACAGCTTCAGAATTAGTCTGAAGCTATGGTCCTAATTCTCATCCCAGATGCTTCTCACTCAGCTGCAAGCCACCCCAGTGTGAGATGGAGGTCACTCCCTGATAAAGCCAAGAGAATCACATTCATCTTCAAAAAAGCAGAGATGAGATCCAGAATCCAACACCATCCATCCTCCTAGAATTTCTGTCCATAAAAGGCATGAGCAGAATCTTTGACAGAGGGCAGCCCAATCAGACAGCAGTACCCACCAGGAATGAGTCAGAAACTTTCCTGGAAATGCAAACCAAGATTTCACTACATTTGTATAGCAACCAGAAAAAAATTAGCACCAACTAAAGCTGTAAACACACACTACAGGCAGTTATAGCACACAATCTGTCTCATTCTAAGCTCAGGGCTTGCCTTTCTACCTTCCTATCTTTGTTTTGAGACCAAAGGTAATACCTTTTTCAAGCAGATTTTCCATATTGCCAGACAGTCATGTCAGCAGGGGAAGGACCTTGATACTTTGTGATTCTTTAATTTAGGATAGATAGCAAAGATTAACTAAATAAATAGTTCCATTTATGAAAACTAAGAAAGGTCTCCTGGGACCCCCAAATATTTCTGTTTTTAAAAAGCACTAATCAAAGCAGAAATGAAAAACAATCAGGTAACATCACTAGGAATAAATTGGCTGAAAAAGTAAAAACAAATTAGAATGATAGACAAAAACCCACCTGTGAAATACGACAAAAATGCATCTGCATGGACCCCACTCGACAGGGTGAGGGTCAATTTAAGGATTTTTAACATTGTAAATCAGAAAGAGCTACTTGTTATCTGTCAGCTATTTCACATCAGGCTAAATTACTTATATGCCAGAAACCACCTCGGGCACTTTACGAATGTAAGCCCGTTCTCTGAGTGGAAAGCATGCCAATTTAAATACTTTGAAGCTAGATTTACTCTCAAAGCATCTCAGCGTTTGGATTCTAAAGCCAATCATGAGTCATTTACTTGTGCCAGACCGTACTGGGCAGCACAAATAAAAGTAATGAGCACTAAACTGTTGATGTCTATTCCATTTTTAAGATAACTTGCAGAGACTAAAAGTCCCATAGAGATTTATAGCATAAGCATGGTTGAATCTTACTATAAAAGCAAGATCTGCCACATTACAGATATTCTCCTTGGATCTTTCCTTTGATTTATTAAATGAAAAAAACAAACATTCTCCCAAACTCAAACTACAGTGCTGATTTGGTTTAACTAACTTTCTCATTAAAGTATGAAAAAGGGCAAATCATAAATAAAAAATGGTGTAAACGCTAATAAGGCTTCATTTTGGTGGAACCGACACACAACTGTACATCCCTACAAAATCTAGCACCTTTCTTTCTACTATTACTTCCACTTGCCTCCAGGCCATCAGTACCAGCATGATAAATAATGATGTCAAATTAAATGCCAATAAAAGTGACATCATCCTCATTGGCAGAAATATCAGAAATATGCCCATTTGCTTTTTCCGTGGGGGAGAAAAAAGTCTTAAAAAGTGTGATTTTGGGTAATACTCTCTTGTTTTCCACTCATATCAATAATGTCTCATGTTCAGCCTTCTACTGTACT